AGATTTTCAGATATCTGGGCGAAAAACAATGGATGTTGCGGAATGTGAGCATGATTTGGCACCAGCTTACAAGAAGTTACGTGAACTGTACGGTAAATTTGATGACGAAGTACTGAAGTGCCTGAAGGATGTTGCGAAAGCTATTGGCGGGCGACCAGAAGTGAAGCAGTTTTTTTCTTTTTCGTCATATTTTTAAAAAATGCGTAAATTTTTTGATGTCTTTGGCGAAAGTAAATTTTTGGCGTTTGAAATTTGGTATCTGGCGTTTAAATTTTCCAAAATATACCTTAGAAATAAAAGTTAACTAGTGCGTCAAAACCTTTGTATTTCCGCAGCATGTCTTTTTCTCAAAACTTATTCAAAAAATAATATGCATTATGATGTCAGGAAGCTGGATGCCAAATTATTGCGGACGGTGGGGATTTATCGAAGAGCAATGGATCCATTGAAGCATGCTGGTCGTTTATTCACCAAATCCATGCTAAGTGTAATATCCTGAAAGTCTGCTGTACACCAGCTTCTTGGTAAGTATGCTGAGTGGCTCAGCAGGAATCAGAACTATTGTGTGTTTTGCGTTGTAACAGTTGCACAGAAAGCATGCTGTTCAAATCCTGTGTGTTTCGAATGCATTCTGTCTGGGAGTTTCAATTCAGGAACTAGGAAGCTGAAATTTTAAGAGCACCCCTACTTGCGTGTAATTTCCCAAACTCAAATTCAGCGTCTGCGTGGAACCAGGCCACACGCACAGTCACGTGAAAGTTTCGGCACCTAAATTAATAACTCGAGAAGCACAAAAGTTAGAAAGATGAAATTTTAGGAGCATGTTCTTCCTTCTCACAAGCTATCACGCTGCGCGATGCTAATTTTTTTTTTTTTTGTTTGAAACCATAGTTTCGGGTTGTGCAGTTTAGGTGCATGAAAGAAGTGAGCAAGCAACAGCTTGGCAAAACAATACGTGATGTTGAAGATGATATTGCTCAGCGAAGTAAGCTGTGCGAACAGACAACAGTCAAAGATACGTCTCAAGCAGATATCCCAGAGCAAGAGCAGGTCTTCCACTAAGATCTTAGCCAAACATAAAATTAAGCTCAGTAAGAGGAATTAAATGGGTCTAGTTATCAAATAAGCCACCACTACTCTACGATTCAGGGTACATACGAAGGCCTGATTACTAAGCCACTTTTATCACCAACCCTTTATTACTTTTACATTTTCTGCCGGCTGTCCATAAGCTGGGGCAAATGGTCAACTTCACACAATTCGGCGGGAATCCAGTCTCAGCACCGTATTCCTGGATTTACTTTGCGAAGAGTGCACTAGTTTCGTCGTTTTTATTCTCGGTTCCTAAAGTATCTCATGTGAACATAACATAACTGGTACACAGGGGGCTTACTCAATCTTTTCTCACATTCTTTTCTCAAATTTTTTTGTTTTACAGTTATCAAATTATACTATATCAATATGGACTAATATATTAGTCAGTACCACGGAACACAACTTTTATTTACGAATTTAAAAGTGAAATAGTAACAAAATTCTAGAATACCATAGATCGATCGAAAATACACGATGCTGAATCAATCGACGAAAAGCCAATCAGCATTCGACAAAATTTTGCTTCCCGTATGCTTTTTCTAATTTCCTTGATTTAAAAACAGTGCTCTGCAGTCGTCAAGTAAATGCCATAGTCGATGGAAAATCTAGAAATACTGTGCTTAGATGATGGGCTATCAAAAAAAAAAACTAGCGAAGCACAGCTTCAAAAAATGCTGACATTTTGAAGAAAAAGCGACAAGCAACAATTTTCCCTAGAAATACGTTTTGACATCTTTTTGGGCAGACCGTCCCTCGAACTCTGGTTCCTTCCAGACAAAACAACCATTCTTATGGGCCTTCATAAGACACTTTTTATATTCCAGTAAATGAAAACTACCCATGCCTGGGGGCTGAATTTGAAATCTTCATAGTCATTGATAAAATGCAAGAAAAGCTGAAATTTCACGAGGTCTCACAGTACACTGATTATTCACGAACGTGGGAGGTAAGACAGAAACATTTCTAAATGTGAGCACATATCAAACTGTGAAGCAGTGAATGCTATTGCTGTTATTGCACTGTTTGCACTGCTTCCCCACCTTTGTTAACTAGAAAACTGCACACTTGTCTTCTAAGAAGTTTAATTTTGAATAGTACAGCGCTACTCATTTTGTGACAGTTTCTGACTGTTTGCTTGTAACTTTTCACTTCATGTGCCCTCATTCGCTAATGTGCCTTAGACTGTCTTCGTACTCATTTTCAACAAGTGACTAAGAGTTATTATGGAATTTTAGCTACTGTCAATGGCGATAAAAAAACCGACCAACAACGACCACTACAAAGTCCCGAGAGTAAGGAATGGCCAGTAGAAAAAGATCGCTTGCCAGCTGCAGACGTAAGGAAAGATGAAATAGTACTGAAGGTATTTAGCATGTCAAAATATATGCTATAATGATGCGACAAACCGGCATTGCTCGCAGGGAGCTTATTTATTTTTTTACGCATCGCTTCGCGCACGCTTTGATCCATTTGTGTTTACAGCTAAGGAATGAAATACAGATTGATTTTTCATGTTCAGACTGAACAGCTAATATACATTTTCCATTTTCTGAATCCTAAATTTCACTTTTTTGTTTCATTGCCGCTTCCATCCTCTTTTGAGAGTGTAAATCGGCATCTCACTTCCAAAATTACGCTTTAACAAATGTTTAACTTCCCCGTTGTTATAATCCTAGTCAAGGGCGTTGTGTTCCTGTGTAAGACGAGGCGAAGGAGGCGCTGTATTAGACGATTAATTAGAACGACACAAAGAAGCATTAGTGAGAAATGTGTCAAAGGGAGCGCCTTATGTAGGGTGTTGTGAGCACTCTGTGTCGCACGCCAAGCAGGTGTGGTTGCAGCACGATTGACTTTTCACAGTACATTAGTGGCATAAAACATTCGTGGTGGAAGTACAGCACTCGGATGGAGCCGTATTGCAAATGAATGTGACTGGGAGAAAATCGGACCGCATACTAGGAGTACAGCCACCAGTGGTACTTGCTAAACACTCTTGATCCTTACGCGCCTAGCACAACAATTGGAACATATATTTCGGTGCGTATGGTGCCCCAAGTAAATTCTAATTTGTCTTATTGCTGCGTCGCGTTGCGCTCACGGTTAAGAACTGTCGACTCTTGCCAGACTTTCACTAAACTGCAGAAATACCAAATCTGTTCATAGTCCACTGTTGATGCCATTTCCAGGTTGAAATTGAGCGTGAAGAAAGCCTCTGTTCGGCATATGTGGATTGCCAACGAAGCATCGCAGATTTTTCTGACGCTTGCGCTGTGGCTTCAGGGAAAATCCAAAGTGGAAAGCAATATGTCAAGTTTTTACCTTATGAATTTAAATAGTTTTTGTTGGCGTGATATTTTCTCGGAAAAATTTTTACTGGAATAACTAAAGATTTGGATGAGGCTACGCAAATGGCACGAAGCCATGCAAATTTTGCATTATGACATAAAAAGCTATGGTAATTTTTAGGATTATTCGCCGTTTTATCGACTTGCTGATCCGGTGGATGATCTGGATCAAAACTGCCGCCAGCAGGAGAATGGACGTCAAATAGCGCTCGATATAGCTCGTGATCAAGCAACTGGCTATCTTCGATGGTGTACACGAGCCCAGATTCAAAATGTATTAGTCGGCAAATTAATCCCGGTACTTCCTAGGATTTTACCGAGAATTAAATGCAGGAGTGTGTATGTATATGTGTGTATGTGTGTGTGTGTGTGTGTGTGTGTGTGTGTGTGTGTGTGTGTGT